TAGTATAGTACGCGTAGTAGTAGCATTCAAAGTAGTAGTAGTAGTAGTAGTAGTAGTAGTAGTAGTAGCAGCAGTAGTAGTAGTAGTAGTAGTAGGCGTAGAAGTAGTAGCAGTAGCAGTAGTAGTAGTAGTAGTAGTAGTAGTAGTAGTAGTAATAGTAATAGTAGTAGTAGTAATAGTAGTAGAGGTAGTAGTAGTAGTAGTAGTCACAGAAATAGTGGTAGTAACAACAGTAGCTGCGGCAGCCGTAGTAGTGGTAATCGTAGTGTTTGTTGTCGTAGTAGCGGTATAAATACTAAAAGTGGTAGCCGTGGCAGTAGTAGTAATCCTTCGTCATAGTAGTAGTAGTAGTAGTAGTAGTAGTAGTAGTAGTAGTAGTGGTAGTAGTAAACATAGTACTGGTCGTAAAATCGGAATTCAAATAGTAGTAGTCGTAGTAGTAGGTAGTAGTAGTGGTAGTAGTAGTAGTAGTAGTAGTAGTAGTAGTGGTGGTTTTGGAAAACGTATGTCTAGTAGCAGCAGCAACGGCAGAAATAATAGTACTACTAGTAGTCGTGGTAGTCGTCAGCGTCGTCCTTGCCGTAGCCGTCGTAAGAAAAGTAGCACTAATAATATAATTCGTAGCGATCGTCGTAGTAGTAGTAGTAGTAGTAGTAATAGTACTAGTACTAGTACTAGTAGTAGTAGTAGTAGTAGTAGTAGTAGTAGTGGTAGTAATAGTAGTAGTAGTTATCGTAGTAGTAGTAGTAGTAGTAGTGATAATAATAATAATAATATGAATAGTGGTAGTGGTGGTAGTAGTAGTAGTAGTAGTAGTAGTCGTAGTCATAGTCGTAGTCGTAGTGGTAGTGGTAGTAGTAGTAGTAGTAGTAGTAGTAGTAGTCGTAGTAGTAGTAGTAGTAGTAGTAGTAGTAGTCGTAGTAGTAGTAGTAGTAGTAGTAGTAGTAGGAGTAGTAGTAGTAGTGTACCAGTTGTAGTAATAGTGACATGCTACTCGTAGTAGTAATGGCACTAGTAATTACACGAGTTCCAGCAAAAATAACAGTAGCAATAATGGCAAGAGTGGTCGGAGTCGTAGTAAGAGTGGTCGTAGACGTACGAATAGTAGTAGCAGTAGAAGCAGTGGTAATCATAATCATCGTAATGATAGTAGTAGAAGTAATCATCCGAGTAGCCGCAGGAGTAGTCAAGATAACAATACCAATACTAGTCATCATACGAATAAAAATGTCAATGATGGTACAAATGGCGCAGCGGGGGGGGGGGGGGGAATTAAATTACTCCGACGGAAGAACCCCACATAAGAATCCTCTGGGCGAATCTGGAAAAACCATCACCGTCGTCCTCGTGGTTGGTGAGGCGTCCTGGCTGTCTCTTCTGCGTATATTTCCTCTCGCCTTGGCGCGGGCCCCCCTTCCACTCCTTACGTTGTCCCCATCCTCGCCCCCCTGTTTGTTCCGCGCCCCGCCACCTCCTCCCCTTCCTGTTGCACGAGCGCGCATGTCGATGTTCCTCGGCGCCGTCGCCGCCACGGCCAGCACAGGCGCGTTCTCTACTGGTCACGTCGCGCAGCCGTTGGGACAACCCCGCGGGCCAGGCTGTCGGGGCAACCCCGCGAGCCGTTGGCGCGCAAGACCAAGCCGTTGGGACAACCCCGCGGGCTTCGAGCGAGGCGCAGCCGCGCTCAGGCGGAAGGCAGCACGAAGCCCAGCTCTGCCGCGAGCTGCTTCGCCTCCGCCCTGGACAAAACCGCTCTCTTGTCGAACTCCAGGAGCGCCTTCCGCAGGGACGCCGGCGGCCCGCACTCCAGGAACTCTCGCGGCGGCGGCCGCAGGATCAGCATGTTCCGCATGCACGTGGCGCGGGAGAACATGACGTAGAGGTGCAGCCACCACTGCTCGTCCGACATGCCCGTGCGGCCAGCGTCCTCGTCTCTCGCGCAGTCGATGGTGACGCCCTTGCGCAGCGTCTGGCCCTGCGACAGCGTGGAGGTCAGGTAGGACGCGTGCGTCAGGGTGAACCCCGAGCGGCGCACGCTGTGCGCCCCCGAGCTCTGCCATGTGAACTCCCTTTCGCTGGGCCTGAACATCAGCAAGCTCCGCGCCCGCGCCTCGGCCTGGCCGTCGTCGTCGGCGCCTTCGGCGCCCTGTCGCAGCACCTCGGCGACCTGAGGAGCCCAACAACTTCCTTGTTGCGTCCAAAATGTGGCCTGGGAGCTGCGTTCTGGCAGCGCGAGAACCCAAAATTGACGACAGTAACAGGTTTTGGATGACCCGCTCGGATTACCAACATGATCTGCGGGCCCCATAGGGAGGGGGCTCCCGCCTGAGACTTCATCGCAGTTCACTCACAGACGAGGCTCCCGCCTGAGACTTCCTCCATATTCAAGCTTGAGGAGCCCAAAAGTGACGACAGTTACAGGATTCCGATGACCCGCTCGGATTACCAACATGATCTGCGGGCCCCATAAGGAGGGGGCTCCCGCCTGAGACTTCCTCACAATTCACTCAGAGACGAGGCTCCCGCCTGAGACTTCCTCCAAATTCAGGCTTGACGAGCCCAACAGTGACGACAGTTACACGTTTCCGATGACCCGCTCGGATTACCAACATGATCTGCGGGCCCCATAGGGAGGGGGCTCCCGCCTGAGCCTTCCTCAGAATTCACTCACAGACGAGGCTCCCGCCTGAGACTTCCTCCAAATTCAGGCTTGAGGAGCCCAAAAGTGACGACAGCTACAAGTTTCCGATGACCCGCTCGGATTACCAACATGATCTGCGGGCCCCATAGGGAAGGAGCTCCCGCCTGAGACTTCCTCCCAATTCACTCACAGACGAGGCTCCCGCCTGAGACTTCCTCCATTTTCAGGCTTGACGAGCCCAAAAGTGACGACAGTTACAGGTTTCCGATGACCCGCTCGGATTACCAACATGATCTGCGGGCCCCATAGGGAGGGGGCTCCCGCCTGAGACTTCCTCACAATTTACTCAACGATGATGAGGATGAGGATGATGAGTGGTGGTGAAGATGAGTGGTGAAGAGGATGATGATTGATTGTGAGTGGTGGTGGCGATGATGATGTTTGAATGAGGATGATGCCGATGCCGATGATGATGATGATGTTCGTGAGCGTGTGAGAGAGTGCGAGTGATGATGATGAGTATGTGAGTGACTAAGCATGTGAGAGAGCATCATCGATGATGCTGATGAGGTTGATGATGAGAGAGTGTGAGTGAGTGTGAGTGGGTGTGTGTGTGTTCCTGTTCCTGCGCGGGGTGCCCAGAGAAAACAAGAACCCTACTTTGGATGTAGGGAAAAAAATCAGATTCTCGGATTTGGTGAATCTAACTCTTAGAATCGAATGAGGGCCTGGTGGGGTGAGGGGATCTTTTTCATAGTTTAATCACATTAGCTGGGGGGAAAGGTGTTCCCAGAACCCCGACATCATGATTTGTTCATGACCACGGCTTCCAGAGGTCTCGCTGGGACTGGTCTCTCATCCCGAGTGGTGTTTTGACAGCCCCGATGCCCCAAAAGGCCCCTGGAGGCTGGGGGGAAGGTCTGTGTTTGGCCCAAGCAACGACTGTTACTCCAAATCCCTTGTTAATTGACCCCCCCTCCAAATGCGACCTAACATTCCGGACCCCCTCTTCGACGGGCTCCTTGATAAACCGGACCCCCTAAGCTCCAATCCAAAGAAAACGCCCCAATAAACGGGACCCCCCCACTTACAAAAAAAGGCGCCGTGCCCCAGTGGACAACTCACCCCCCCCAGATGTGGATATAGGCTATTCCCTTCGGGTTTCGAAGGGTACGTATATCCCCAACTGAGGTAGGATGGTGGGGATCGAGATGGGGATGGGGATGGGGATTGGTTCAACGATGCTGATCAAAGAACTCCGCGCGGACCTCCCAGAAATTATCTGCATGCAGCCTTTTCTTCTTCAAGATACACCTCAAAACCCCGACTCCCGTCGCGCCCCTAACCACGTCGCATAGTCGCATACGTGTCGGATCCATAACGGACTTTTCGCACCCGCGTCGAATCCATGTCGAATCCGCGCCAGATCCACGCCAAATTCGTGTCGAGTCCGCATCGAGAAAAGAAACCAACTTGGGGGACAGACGAGGTTCCTCGAAGATAAGGGGGATGGAGGCAAATCCTGTCGAAGTCGGTCTCTGGACCGCTCCTGGGGTCCATCAGGTGCAATGTTTCACCCCGAATCCGTTTTGACGGTGCTTGAGAGCCCCCAAACCAAGTGAAGAGATGTCAGGTGGTGACCTGGAATCCCCCAAAAGTCACCGCCGGGTTTGAACACGGGGTCACCGCCGATTTTGTGACTCCTGAACCCACCAGCGTTCGGGACATCCTCGAAAAACCACACGAGTCCCAAAACCGGGTGGTGACACCAAATTGCCCGAGACTCACCACCGGGTGTTCTCACCACCACGTTTCGGGACTTCCAAGGTGCCAGCGCCCGAAAACGCCCCCGGGCCGACTTGGGGCCCTCTTGGAATGCTCCAGGGCCGTCTTAGAGGCCATCTTGGGCGTCTTAAAGGCCTTCTGGGCTGTCTTGGGGGCCTCTTGGGGCCGCCTAGGGGGCCTCTTGGGCCGTTCTGGGGCCATCTTGGAGGCCTCTTGGGCGATCTTTGGGCGATCTTTGGGGGCTCTTGGGCCGTCGGAAGGCCGAAACGAAGCAAATGGCAAAATCCTTCAAGATCCAACGAACAAAATTGGTACTTCTTGCCTTTTCTGGCATGCCAAAAACCTTTCGGGCCCAGCACCTCGAACCTTCTCCTCCTCCTCCTCCTCCTCCTCCTCCTCCTCCTCTTCGTCGATCTCCTCCTCTCCCCCTCCTCCTCCTCCTCCTCCTTCTCCTTCTCCTCCTCCTCCTCCTCCTCTTCCTCCTCCTCCTCCTCCTCTTCCTCCGACGAAGAGGAGGAGGAGGAGGACCTCGAACCTCAGAGGCGAACCTCCCCTTCCCTCATAAGGCCGAGGCCTTACTGCTAGAGGCGGACGGCGTCGGGCCCACGTCGGCGGGGTCCTGCGGCCACGACGCCTGCAGCGGCCACGCGAAGCCCAGCGCGACGGTGCGGCCGGTGCGCTTCTCGGAGACCTGGTGGGATGTTGAGCAATGGTGATTACATTCATACATGTGTAGGTATACAGATCTAGATTCGTGTATCTTACCATATCTATATACATACATCTGCTATCTGTACACGTGTACATATACTAGAAACAACCGCGCGCTCGCTTTGCGCGCACTCAAGTTCTAGAGACGTTCAAACTAATGTTTGCCGCGATAAGCCAGTCCCCTTCGTTCACAGATTGTTGATCATCCTCTCATTATTCCTCCCCCTTTCCTTCATTTGCCTTCAATCATCCTCCACCTCATCATTCGCCTCATGCTTCGCATATGTTATTCCTGCCTCATCTTCATCTGCTGATCCTGTCACTTTGTGAAATTTCGCTTGTTAATGCGATCCCTGCCCCAAAGCGTCCCAGGATGCCCCCCAACAAAATGCGAAGGGGCCCAAAGACTCCAATCGGGCGAACGTGTGCCCAGGCCACGTCCACGTGGGCAGAAAAGCGGCCCAAGGGAGAGAGAAAGAGAGAGAGCGAGAGACAGACAGACAGACAGACAGACAGACAGACAGACAGACAGACAGACAGACAGGCAGGCAGACAGACAGACAGACAGAGAGAGAGAGAGAAAACAAATTATCCTGGCGAAGGACCCAGCCATATGCAGCTGTGAGTACCGTCGTTTCGGGTATCGCCGTCGGGGGATCTCCTCGCGGGGCCATGAAACGTGCGGAGGGCGTGCCGATGTGGGGCGGGGCTGGCACGTGGGCGCTGCCACTGGTGCTCTAGGCGGAACGCACTACCTGGCCATCGCTCGGACGCCCATTCCCTGTGTTTTTGTTCGGTGTTGTGTGTGTGTGGTTTTTCCGGCCGAATGATCAAGGATGCTCCTCGATGGTCCTCCCCGAAGGAAACATACACACGTCCGAGCGATGCCAGGCTACGGGGCCGCGAAACGTGTGAGGGGTGCGCCGCAGTGGGGCGGGGCATCCATTGGGGCCTTCGTTGGAGTTCCCCATAGGGCCACAAAACGCTGTACTGGGTGGGGGAAACGCGTGCGAATTCCGCCACTGGGACCTCCAATGGAGCTCCTTACGGGGCCGCGAAACACCGCACTCGACACAAGAACCGCATGCGAGTTCCGCCCCTGGGACCTTCGGTGCAGCTCCCTATGGGGCCAGGGAACGCTGCACTGGGCGCGGGAACCCATGCGGGCTCCGCCACTCGGACCTTGGGTGCACCTCCCTATGGGGCCACGAGACGCTGTACTGGGTGGGGGTGTCGCATGCGGGCGGTGCCACTTGGGGCCACGAACAACCGCACTGGGCGCAGGAACCGCATGCGAACGCCGCCACTGGGATCTTCGGTGGAACTCCCTATGGGGCCACGAACCACCGCACTGGGCGCAGGAACAGCATGCGAGTGCCGCCTCTGGGACCTTCGGTGGAACTCCCTATGGGGCCACGAAGCGCAGTACTGGGTCGGGCTGTCGCATGCGGGCGGTGCCACTTGGGGCCACGAACAATCGCACTGGGCGCGAAAACCGCATGCGAACGCCGCCACTGGGATCTTCGGTGGAACTCCCTATGGGGCCACGAACCACCGCACTGGGCGCAGGAACAGCATGCGAGTGCCGCCACTGGGACCTTCGGTGGGGCCACGAAACGGTGCACTGGGCGCAGGAACCGCATGCGAGTTCCGCCACTGGGACCTTCGGTGGAGCTCCGTATAGTGCCTCGACTCGCTGCACTGGGCGCAAGAATCGGATGCGGACTGCGCCACTGGGACCTTCGGTGGAGTTCCCTATGGGGCCACGAAACGCTGTGCTGCGCACAGGAACCGCGTACGGATTGCGCCACTTGGACCTTCGGTGGAGCTCCCCATGGGGCCACGACACACCGCAATGGGCGCAAGAAGCGCATGCGCACTGCGCCACAGAGACCTTCGGTAGACCTCCCTATGGAGCCACGAAGCGCTGCATTGGGCGCAGCAACCGCGTGCGGACTGCGCCACTGGGACCTTCGTTGGAGCTCCGTATGGGGCCACGACTCGCTGCCCAAAGCGCAAGAAACGCATGCGCACTGCGCCACTAGGAACTTCGGTGGAGCTCCGTATGGTGCCACGACTCGCTGTACTGGGCGCAACAACCGCGTACGGACTGCGCCAATCGGACCTTAGGAGGGGCTCCCCATGGGGCCACGAATCACTGCGCTGTGCGCAGGAACCGCATGCGTACTGCGCCACTGGGGCCTTTGGTGGAGCTCCCTATGAGACCACGAAACGATGCACTGGGCGAAGGAGCCGCAAGCGGACTGCGCCACTGGGACCTTCGGTGGAACTCCCCAAAAGGGCCACGAAACGTGCGAGGGGTGTGCCAAAGTGAGGGGGGTGACGGGAGGAAGGAGGGGGGGAGGGGGGAGGAGGGAGGAGTAAGGAGGGAACGTGGACCCATGACGATGATGACGACGATGTTGATGATGAGAACATGATGATGGGATGATGGAAGTGATGATGGGACGATGGGATGATGGTTGGTAGGAGGAGGTGGGAGGAAGAGAGGAGGATAGGAGTGGAGGTGGGACGCAGGTTGTTGTCTCTTCAAGGCGAGGACCCATCACCACAGGATGGTTGGAATCACGCATTTTTGTGTCATGCAGTGAGCGCGCGCGAGCTGCGCGACGCTCGTGTCCTAATCCTCCTACCGTGCCTCGGCTTCGCTCGAGAGGCAGCTCCCTGCCCGCGCACAGCCCCATGAAAGGGGGACGATGACGCGCGACGCAGCCCCCCAACATCGAACAACCACACACAAGCAACGAACACGACAGTGAGGACGACGACGACGACGACGACGACGACGACGACGACGACGACGACGACGACGACGGACGACGAACCACGAACGGCGACCTAGTCGACACGTACAAGCGAGCGACAAGCAACACGACTACGGATTACGAGCGACGAACGTTCAACGATGTCGCATATGCGAGCACATCGCTCGGTGGCCATCTCGCGGGGGGAGTCTGCATGAGAAGAAATTCGATGGCCTCGGGAAACCTCAGGCCGCGTCGGTCATGCGTCGAACGCGCGTCGCGCCAGGCGCGGTGGCACAACATCGCAACTTCGGCGACGAAGCTGCTGGCGCTCGAATCGGCACGCGGCGCCAGCCAACTTCCTTGCTTGCCTGGATGGCGATCGCGCGCGCGGGCGGAGGCTCCCGCGCCGCGTGGTGGGCCTAATCCGGGAATTAGACGCCCGAGTTATCCGGGGTAACTCGGGTCCGGGGTAACTCGGGCTTGGGTTCCCGAAGAACGAACCCGAGTTAGCCCTGACCCGAGTTACCCCTGATGATTCAGGGCTCTGGACGCCCGAAATATCCGGGGTAGCTCGGGTCCGGGATAACTCGGGTTCGGACTCCCGAAAAACGAACCCGAGTCAGCCCTGACCCGAGTTACCCCTGATGACTCGGGGCTCTGAGGGAACGCAATGCGTTGCCCCGCGGTCGGCGCGCGGCGCCGATCCGACTCCGCGTGGCGTCGGCAGCGTGGCTCGGCGAACGCCGCTCGCGCGGCGGTCGGCGCGTAATTAGCGCCGAGCGGTGATGGCGCCTCGCTGCGCGGCGGGCACCCCTGCGGGGCGCGTCGCGGGGGCGTCGAACATGCACGCTCGTCGCTCCGCGATGTTCGCGGAGGGGATGGGGGGGGGAGATCGTGGGGAGGGGGGAGCTCCACGGCTCTGCAGTCGGCTGTGCCTCCTGTGCGGGACGCGCTATGCTGGCTATGCCGAGCCTGGCTTCACCTTCAGCCTTGAGAGTGCTGATGGGCCTGTTTTCCACCACCACCACCATAAGTTAGATGGAGGAGGAGGAAGAGGAGGAGGAGGAGGAGGAGGAGGAGGTGGAGGAGGAGGAGGAGGAGGAGGAGGAGGACCCCCTCCCCCTCCAACTTATGGTGGTGGTGGTGGAAAACAGGCCCATCAAGTGCGGCGCGAGGTGTGCGTATCATGTGAGTGACCAGGTCTGCGCCTGCGAGTCTTGCATCTGTTTATGGTGTGTGTCTGTGTGTGTGAGTGTGTGGCCGGCGGCGGGGGCTCCCTGAGCTCCGAGAGCGCCCCCGAGAGCCCCGACTCCCCTCGGTACAACCCTCGGCGGTGCTGGGCCGACGCCGAGGACGCGGCCGAGGAGTTGGGTGAGGCAGCCGCGAGGGCGGCTGAGCCCTCGGCCAAGCCACCGACCCTCGATAACGCTGACCGTGGGGTAGCGGCGGCGCCCAGCGCCTGGCGCAGGTCTCACCGCAAGGCGAGCCCGTGGCGCCCGTTGCCGACGACGAGTGCGGCACTGGCCCTCGGCAACCTCCCGAGGACGTGGGCCCCTTGGTCGAGGACGGGTTGGCCGCTTGTCTGGAGGCGCGGCCGCTGGACGCAGAGGACCCGCCGGGCGCCTCCGCCGACGGCATCTTCGACATTGAGCGCGAGTGCGCCGCGCTGGAGTCAGCCTCGCTTGCCGCTTGCCCTCCCCCTTGGGCGCGGCCCCGCGGTGGTCGAGGAAGTGACGAGGGTGGAGGCTGCTGCCCAAGGCGCGCTGGTCGCCCCCCTCCCCCGGGGCGCTCCCGGCGGAGGTCGAGCGAGGTACAGGTCTCGGAGATAGCGAGGGCGCGGCGATGCCTTCGCGAATGGAGCGGCTGGACCCCGGCCTCCACGGCGCCCAGGGCCAGCGCCAGAGGCAAGGGCCAGGAGCATCGCTGGCTGCGAACGCTGGGTCCCCAGGTGGCGGCCGCGGCGGCGGCGCTGCTGGGGCGCTTTTCGCTGACGGCAACGGCGGTGGCCCCCCTCACTCCTGGGCGCGGCCCAGTTGAGGTCGGAGACGCGGCAGCGGCGCTGGCCCTGGGCGCGCAGCCCGCCCACCTCCCCCCCGCGACGCCCCCGGCTGAGGCCGAAGGGGGGGGCGGCGCCAGCCCCCCTGCCTCCCGGGGCGCCCCCTGCGGAGGTAGTGGCGCCCGGCCGCGGAGTGGAGGTCGCGCGGCTCCTGCTGCGGAGGTGGAGCGACTGGGACCCAAGGCCACCGGCTCCGGTTGCGGAGCCGTGACCACCGGCTGGGGTCAGCAACGGCCGCGCAGCTGGAGGTTATACCCTCCCTCCCGCGACGCCGCCGGTGGAGGTTGAGGTGACGGCTGCCGCGGGAGACGGCGGCTGGAGGCTGCCCTCCCTCCTGGGCCAGGCCCGGGGGCGCGTGTGACGTGGGTGGGAAGAAACCACAGCCCCACCACGGTCAGCTCCCACTCCTCGATTTTTATGCGCGTTGGCCAGGCAACGAGCTTCTCAGGCCGCACACAGCCCCCAGCGCGGGGCTGGGGCGGCGGACAGCCAGGGCAGGAGGCGCAGCGGCGCCGCCGCGAAGTGAGGAAGGGTGTAGACGGGCGGGACAAGCGGCCCCGCTCTCGACCAGAAGGCCGGCGACGGACGTGCTGCTGGACGCACGTGCGCGCGCAGGGAAGCGAAGAGGGGAGGGTGAGAGTCTCACTTCGCTGAAACCTCGCGAGCCAAAATGTTTGGCAACGTTCGGCCTCGGGCCCCCACGGAGGACGAGTCGGCATTAAAAAGCAGGGCGATGGGGTCGGGACATCTCGGGACCGCGCATATCAAGAGCTAGAAACAAGAACGCATCGGATGGCTGCGACGGCGGCGCTCCATCGCCCCCCTCGGGCCGCATGGAGGCTTTCTGTCGTCACGGCTGGATCCGCCTCGAAAAGCGGGCCATAATGGACCCGCAGAGGGGTCTGGGGGCAGATTTTCAGCGGACGTGGGCCACGCGGACACACTTCTGGCGGCAAGATGCTTTCACGACGTGGACTCCCCGAGGTCTGGACCCCTCTCGCGGAGGCTCGTGTTTCGCCTTGAAGCGCTAGCTGACGGCACCCGAAACTCCTCAAAAGGCCCCCCCCAAACAAAAAACAGGAACGGCCAAACGCCTCCCGTCGTGTCTCCTGGCGCGAGGTGTGCCAGGGCCCGGGGGGCAAACGCTGGTCCTCGGGCATGTTTTTTGGCAAAACAGTCGAAGCGGACCCGGAGGAGGTGACGGGGAGCCCCCTTGGTGGCCCCAGGCGGGCGGGCCCAGGTCGAAGCTCGAGCCCTGGAGCCTCTGAGCCTCGAGCCGTCGGCGCCTGCCTCGCGAACGAAACTGCAAAAAAACCTCCCGCCGTGTTTGCGTCGATATCGCGAGGAGGTCGGATAACTGTTCCTTCTGTGACAGCTCATGAGAGCATCTCGGATTAACTCGATGGCTCTTGCGGATCGATGCTAACCGAAGCTAGCTCGACGCTGATCGACGCTGCATCCGCGCTAGATCATGGACTACCAGATGCTAATCGACGTTAGCGCACTCCCAGAACTGAATTACGAAGGTGCACAAGGCCCCCATGAGTTGCCACCGAAGAACTGGCCCTCCTGCGACCTGAGTCACCTCTACTTCGAAGTAGTAACCGCGCCAGCCTGCTGGCACCCCCACGTCCTCTGGGCCGCACAAGGACATACTAGAACGATGCGTCTTCCTTGGAGGCGCGCGTCCGACCCGAACCAATATATAGAACACATATTGCATCATCCCGTTTCTTGAGCGGTATGGCCAGAAAGCGCCCGCCACATAGCTTACAACATAAGATTCCTTATGATTTCTCAGCGCGCGCATCGCCACTAAGGGGGGAGCGACGCACACGTTATATTAGCAACCCTGTGCCCCTGATATTCAATCCCTGGGGACAATACAATTCGGGGTCCACGGGGAATAATAACCAACAGCCCCTGATATTAATCCCCATGGGATGATAAGATTTGGGGTCCAGGGGGGGATAATCCGCCAATCCGGCATGTGAGTTTCTGAGAGCGTGGACTTGAGCTCGCTCAAGCTTCGCTCTGCAAGGAGGAAGGGGGGGGGGACACCATTTCCGAAGCCATTCAATGTTCGGGAGCCGGGGGGGGGCTCGCTCTGCAAGGGGGGGGAGAGGGGCGCCATTTCCGACGCCAGTCAGTGCTTCTAGAGGCTCCAGGCTCCGAAGGGCAAGCCTCTCTATAATCTAACTAAGTCGTTTTAGAAAACAAGCAACCCCCTTGTAACTACTGAGTACGATCGCGGAACGTACCAACTATATATGACAAGTTATGTGTTGTATTACTGCATCTGTAATGGACTTGTCTAAGTTAATACAGAGTTACCAAGTGAACCTATAAGTAAGTCAGAGTTATAAGAAGCTAGCGACTGTATAGCATCAAGCCAATCCAAGTTAAGAAAAATTAAAAGAACTTCTGAGATGTTACAACAAGTTACAGGAAACTACAACATGTTACGACGAACTGCAACAACGGAACCCCCATCGCAGAGTATGCACTCCTTTCCATGCCCCCTCTCGGGATGCAGCCTCTTCTGGTTCAAGATAGAGCCCACACGGAAACATCATAAGATTGCTGGGACATTTCAAGCGACTGGACTGAAACACCCAATTGAAGCGTATTATAAAACACTTATCGGATGAAGAAAACATGAAGGTTGACCTCGCCTTAGTGGGCCCTGGAAACGACAAGGCCGTTTTTTTACCGGTTCCGTTTTGCCGTTGTTTTGCCGGTTCCGACGCCGTTGTTTTACCGGTCCTGTCGCCGTTGTTTGACCAGTTCCGGCTCCGGTTCCAATCCTGGAGCCGTTTTTTTGCCGTTTCCGGTCGCCGTTGTTTTGCCTTTTTCATTTTCGAGAGACATTTTTTTGGAAACGGTCAAAAAACGGCCCTGCCGTTTCCGGGGCCCACTAAGGACCTGGCTGATGTGAATAAGTGCGGTCGGAAGTCTGTTTCAGAGATGTCCACTCCTTATGGGCCAGTAGTTCAGACGTTGCAGCTTCCTCTTACTGACGGCACGACATATTCTTGGCCATTCGCGAGCCCACCCTCGCTCTTACACATCGCTTGCGCAAGCAGGTGCCATCCAGGTTTCTTGCCAAACACATTGGTGGGAAACGCTCAAAATACGCTTCTTTGGGGGACGAGACGACAGTTGGGAACCAGCTCACTCTGCCACGAAACACGTAGCGACATACTTTACCTTTGCCTGCGGCACACCCCGCCACCCCCGAACATCGTCGTCTCCCACTTCCCCCATGCAGAAAACGAAGGGTTCGATCTGAACCACCTGAGAACGGAAGGGGGGGTGGGGGAGGAAAGACAGCCGCCAGAAATTTGACTCGAATGACGAGGAAGGGGGAGGAAGGGGGATTCATGGGGGAGGGCAGGAAGAGGAAGGGAGGGGGAGGAGGCAGGAACGAGGAGGAGGGAGGGCGTCGCAATCCCCACGCCCCCCCCCCACCCCACCCTAATTACCCCTGCACGCGCCCCCCCCCGCCCCCCACACGCGCACACCTGAAGCTTCTGGAGGGGAAGAGGAGACCTTTCGCCTCGGATCGCCAGGTGGCGCAGTGGCGGGCTTATGGACGGAGCTGCCTGAATGGTGGCGTTGCACAGATCAGGGGTGGACCCCGATCGGATCCATTCGATGTTCGCAAATGCAACACGCGGGCGGCGGGTTTTCAGGACTGCCCAAACACATGATGATGCTTAAGTTTATAAGCAGAGAAACTATGGACGTCGGCATCGCTGTCCCCGATGGCTCTGACAGTCAGATCCACCATGTCGGCGGTAATCCAGGACGAACACGCCCACGCATAATTCTACGCTGTGGAGGGGGCGGGCGGGAATTCGTGCTGGGCGACACGTAAGAACGTGCATTACGGAATCAACTTGGCAGTTGGACCACGCGAGTATATAGGACACGCATCAGTGATGATGCCAAACAGATTTGCATGAGTCATGGCAAAGCGGTGGTTGCACGAAGGGCGCATTTGAATTGGAGGCCGCATCGTTTGGATTGACATTTGACCAAGACGCCGCGTTGCGGTGCCAAGCGCTCGGACCTCTTCTGAAACCTGCAAGCGCCTTTTTCCATGATTGGATGCGCACCCTGGCGGCCAGCGGAGGAGGTGCGCAATGCATGATCAATGGTTTCTGTCCCAAGCTATCGCGAGGCGGCAATATCAGCATGGACCAACTCGACAAGTAGGCGGAGGAGTTCGCGGGGCCAAACAAACATGCGTCGAGGCCTCGGCCTAGGCAGTTTACAGTGCGCATTGTTCAGAGGGATCATTCTCATTGCAAAGCTTTCGCAGGGGAGTGCATGACAGCAGTCGCGGTGCCAAGCCGCGCGCGGGCCTTCGGCTCGCCGCCCGCCCGTCGATCTGCCATGCATCCCAAGGGAGGGCTCGCGACGAGAAGCCCATTGCAATTCGCCTCGGGGCCGCTGCGCGCGGCTGCGGATTTCAGCAAGACTGTGCTCGACAGTGACCCCCCCGTGCTCCAAGAGCACAGCCGGTGCATGCAACTGATGGGTGCAATGTCTAACGCGCTGTCGTTTGGGGGGGGGGTGGCGCGGCCGCGCCACTCGCTCCGAGGCCCGGCTCCCTGATCGATTCGCACCGCCAGGCAATGCTGAGAGCATGCGGGCGCGGAGTGCGCAAGGTGAACAGCCACCTGCAGCACCGCGTGCCTGAACGTCTAGCACCATTTCAGCTGAACCTCTCATGTTTCACAAACGAAAGGAGAAACAAATTCCTAAATGCAGTCACTGTACATGCGGCCTCCCTGCGGGGCCCATCGCGCGCTATCGTATCTAAGATAGTTCTTGATATGAACATCAAATCAACAATGCTGTGTTCATGCCGGAGTTTCTGATTGAACCAGTGGCTGATGCCTAGGGCCTTTTTGAAAGATGTTCCGAGCGACCGACGCCCCGTGGAAACATGCGCCTCGCGGCGGTTTCACTGGGGGCGAGGGTCCTTGCGTGATGGCAGCGTTGTTTCCTGCGTGGCGCCACCAGGCAGCTTGGGGCACGCTGAAGTAGTGGGTTGCTTAGACGCGAGGTACAGCTGTCATCCCGGCGTGCCCGGGCGCTGGCTCGTTGCGACGGCGTTCGTGCAGTCGCCGACGGACGATTCGCTGTGGAGGCTCGGGGTGGAACGCGTCGCGCTTGCTACGGGGCAGGTTCGCGACGTTCATGTGGTCGAGCGCGTAGGCATATGCATTCGCCCTATGGCGAAATCGTTATAGATACGATGCGGTGGCAGCAGGGGACGAGCAGGAGACGATATGGGGGGGCACCCAATGGGCGCATCGCGGCTTGTTAGCACGCTGCACCTGACCGTAGGATTGTTTGGCCGCGTCGGCCATCGTTGCCAGCAGAGGCTCGCGTTGCCCATGGCATCGACGCTTTTTCCCGACCGTGAGTTCGGGCCGGAATCTTTCGGCGCGATCGCCCGAGTCCGACGCCCTATCGGGCGCGGAACGCTTGCGAGCGCCCAGTCCCGCTTTGCAATGGCCAACGCACTGGTCAAGTGCACGATTCGTGATCGCAGTCGCGGGCAGGGCGGAGAGTTGTTGCTCGTTGGCAGGGCTTCCCGCCCGGACTGGGGGGCGAGGTGCGCGACGGAGCTCGCGGGGGCGAGCGGGGCGGAGGGCGGTCGCGAGAGCAAGCAGCTACAAGACGAGCGGAGGAGGCTGGACAGGCTGCGCCGCTGGGAGGAGGTTGGCGAGCCAGTGTTTGTAGAGCAGCGTTCGGCATCGAGCTCTCCCTCCGCCTCCGAAGCGACGGCGGCAGCGACGGACGCGGCCAGCTGCCCCCCGCGGCAGTGGCCCCTCGCCACGCGCGCGCCCGCGCGCGCGCGGTCGAGCGATCCGCGCGCGGGCTGGTCACCCGAGACCTCGTGGGTCACCGATAAGGGTTCACTCTAGTTTTCCAGGCTAACATGGCGATTTTCCCATGCTGGAAAATATACGGCGACTTTTTCATGCTGGAAAATAATCAGCTCGCAACGAGCGCGGCGGCGCGCGCGCGATCGGGTGGCGCGCGCGCGGGCGTGTCACCCGAAATCCAATCGGTCGCCATTGAAGGTTCACTCGGGTTCCCAAATCAGCATGGCGATTTTCCCACTTTGGACAATGCAGAGCTCGCCGCGCGCGCGTCCGCGCGCGCGCGCGATCGGGCGGCACGCGCGCGGCCGTGTCACCCGAGATCCCACTCGCGCGCGCGCGCGGGCGCGCGCGGGGCGATATCAGCATTGCCCACAATGGAAAGAGTAGCCATGTTGGCCTGGGAACTAGAGTGAAGCCTTGACGGTGACCGATTGGGTTTTGAAGTTAACATGCGTCATGCATATATGAACGTTTCAAACAAAAAATACAACACATCCCCATGTTGGCCCGGTACCTGACGTGAGCACTTAACTGTAACCGACTGGATTTTGAGGTGGACGTGCGTTTTCAATGTTTTCCAAACAAATCACTCGGATTCCTTCGGGATTATCCGATGGATGACCTAAGGGGTCCTGTGAATTCCCCATCAGGTCCGATAGAATTACTGCGGAATCCGATGGGTGTCCTACGGGGTCCATGGAAGTGCCTCAGGAATCCTATGGCGGCCCTGGGGGATCCTCACGATTGTCGAAGGTTGCGATGGATCTCCTAGAAAGAATCCGGTGGCTGTCCTAAGGAATCCGATGGATGTCTTAAGGCTTCCCATATATGTCCTAAGGGTTCTAATGTATGTCCTGAGGAATCCCATGAATTTCCGAGAACGACTCATGCATCTTGCGCATGTCTTGGGTAACCCGGCAATTTTTATATGGAATGCGATGGGTGTCCTAAGGGGACATATGGATGTCCGGAAGAATCCGATGGATATGGGTGTCCGAATGGACCCTATTGATTTCGAAAGGAATATGATAAATGTCCTAAGGAATCCGATGACTTCCCTGTGGCGCCCGATAGCTTTCATGAGGGACCCCGTGGATATCCCAAGGAACCCGATGGATTTCCAAAGGAGCATGCGGATTTCCTGAAGAAGCCGATGGGTGTCCCAAGGAACCCCCGAAGTTTCTTAAGGATCCCTTTCGATGTCCTAAGGATCCCGATGCATGCCCCGAAAACTTCTATGGCTGCCCTCGGGAATCCGATGGGTGTCGTGAGGGTTGCTATGGAATTCCACAAGACCCCTACGCACTTCTGGAAGGGAAACAACTGGTGTCCAATCGAAACCAATGGATTCCCTAAGGGATGCGAGGATGTCCTAAGGAACCCTGCGGATGACCGAAGGATTCCAATGTAATTGCTTTGGGGTCTTATGCGATTCCCAAGGGCGGCCTATTGACACCCCCATGGACTTCGAAAGGAATCTCATGGATGTCCTAGGGGGTCATGTGCATGTCCTGCAGGACCCGTTGGATGTCCGAAAGGATCCGATGGGTTTCCGAAGGAAACGCGTTGCCTTCTCAAAGAATCCTTGTGGATGTCGTGGGGAAACCAATGCATCATCGAGGTTCTACAATAATCTCATCGGAATCTATAAGACACCCACGAGATAATTTATGACATCCTTAGGAATCCGTTGGACATTCATAACATTCCTTGGAAAATATGCAAGGACCTTCGAATTCACCCAAGAATTCATCGTATCCCAAAGGGATCTCAAGTGATTCCTCATGGCATGCGTTGGGTTCGTTTGGAATTCCAAGAAGGATTCCTCCTGAAATGCATGAGGTCCCGAAACACGTCCCAAGGATTCCTTAGGACAGCCACCGGATTCCTTAGGACATCCATATTCGTCTTTCGGAAAAATTCATCGTATTCGGCAGGCAATCCATGGTGCCCTTCAGGACATCTACAGGATGCGTTCGGACAGCAACCGGAATCCATGGGAAACCCGTCGGACTCCTAAAAGAATCCATCCGAGTCTTTTCGGAAAGCCATGGGTTTCCGGATGAAATCTATAGGAACTCCTATGACATCCATCCAAGAATTCAATGGGGTGCCTCAGGCTACCCATGGGACTCCGAAGGAAATCCAGATTATCCCTTTCGACATCTATAGGACCCCTCAGAAAATCCATGAGATCCCTTAAGACAGCCATCGGGTCCTCAGGTCAACCATTTGATTACTTACGACATCTATCTGAATCCTTGGGGCATCTACAGAAATCCGTGGGAAATCCATAGGCTCTCTTTGGAATCCCAGCTACTCGCTACTCAACATAATAATGCAGCAACTTTGATTTGCAACTTCCCCCGCGATAATCGAACTCGGCCGTGTCGCCCCTCTTCCCCGACCCAATCTGTATCGGCTGAGAGCATTAAGCTCTCAGGGGGAAAGGGGGTAATTATGGCTTCATATCTGGGGCGCTCGGCTAAACGTTTTCTCGTAGATCGCAACATGATGATGATGATGCTGATGCTGATGCTGATGATGATGGTCGCGGGCGCCTTTCCAGATCCTCGCTCTGATGGAGTTTGGTGCTCCTCGAGATATGGTATCTAAAGTTTCCCTACGCTCTGGAGGTCCTTGGCGCTGCCAAGACACCTCTCTTGCGAACCACCTCGAACCAATCGCCCACGCAGGCTCGGCATCCCTTGGAGCCGTCAGCGGAAGGCATTTCGTGCATGCTAGCGCTGCAGCGCTTGCCTCCTTCGCTGCAACTGCGATTTGCAACTTCCCCTCGCGAATCTGAAGTTCGGCCTTGCCGCCCCTCTCCCCCGACCAAATCTGCATTGGCCGGGGAGCATCAAATATCAGTCGTGGAGGGGGGGTGTGATTTATGATCCGGGGCACGGGGTTATGTTGTGGTGACGCCGATCCTCGCCGAGCTCTGGCAACGGCGCGGCCGTCAGGGCGACACCATTGACCAGGCCGCTGACCCGGGAGGCGACGCTGCGGCAGGCTTCCGCGGCGCCCTCCTCGCTGGCCAGCTGCACGTTGGAGCTGCACGCCCCGAAGGCGACGGACTCACAGTAGCGGAACGCGTCCTTGGGCTCGGCGGCGAACCCAGGCTGCGTTCGACTTTATGGGAGCCTTCTCTTGGTCAACATGCTGGCGAAGTCGCTGCAAGTAGCGGCGAATGGCGGCAGCTGGCAAGCGGCAAAGAATGGCACACGCCCCGCACCAACCGTCCACCAATCACTCCCTATCTGCCGCCAACAGCCACGAAACGCCGAAATCGAAAACACTCGGTGCGAGGCGGCGAGGCTTCCATACAAAAAAACACCCTACCCCAGGAATTCGGACGCCCGGAATGGGTACGGAAAAAATGGATACAATGCCCAACAACAAATGTTGTCCCAAACCATCAGCGGCCGCTGTTGGGCAGGCGGCCTTCTGTCTCGAATGGACAGAGGCCGCGGCGGCGTGGACAGCGAATCCTGTTCAAAATGAACAAGAACTGCTGTTGGCCAGTGTACCCATTCTTTCAGTACCCATTTCGGGCGTCCAGAAGGGAGGGGGGAGTTCCACGTGTTAACGCGTTTTCGTCGGGTTGTCCAGCCCCGGGGTGCTCTCCAGCAGCTGCGCCGGGACGGGAGCGTTCCGGGGGCCGCCGGACGCCCGGGCTTGGCGCAGGCACCGGGTGCAGCGCAGAGAAGACTCGTCCGTGGCGCTGCGAGACGGCCACCGCGGGGACCGCCTTCGGTGCGGCTGCCCGCCGGGCAGTCTTCGAGCCGAACCTGGCCTAGCTAGCCTGAAGTTGGGCGTGTCCCTCTATAGGAGGAATTGCCGATCACAAAGAAGAGGGGACGTCTTCTGCATCGTCTTCGGCCTCTCTGGGCCCATACTGGGCCTCAGAACCGTCCAACAACGACTCGGGACGCAAGACGGGCCCCGGGGAAGTGGTCGAGAGGTCGGGGGCCCGTGTCTCGAACCGAAACCGAAGCGCTGGATGTCAGGGGGGAGGTGCTCAACAGCGAGCGCTGTCCAAAATCGACGGCGGCCGCTGTTGGGCAAGCGACTTTCTGTCTTAAATGGGCAAAACGTCCGCGGCGACACGGACGGCGAATCCTGCTCTGAATGGGCTGGACCTGCTGTCAGTCTTCATCCATCCTCTTCCCGTGCCGAGCAAGGTCATGCATTTGTGAAGGAGAATGGATGGCAACCGCACGACTTCACACTGCTCGGCCTCAACCGCTATGCCAATGTCCCACGATGCCCAAACGGCCAACGACATTGCCTACGCACGACACGCCGCGATGAGACTCCAGTCTTCCAGAGTCATGTAAGCTCGCGACGAGGCGCGCCGCGCGGCTTTCTTGGATCGGCGTTGGACGACCCCCCTCCCTGACGCGCGGAGCGCGCCAGGGGCGGCACCGGAGGCGGCACCGGGGGGGCCCAGGCGCCGAACCAAGAAATCTGCTAGCAACTCCGAAAGATCATGTGTACGTAGCGTTTTCTTGTTCAACGTGCAGTATCCGAATACCCCTCGAAATGTAAACGGCCAACGATATCGCCTGCGCAAAACACGCGAACAATCGCTGGACCGCGCCACGGGCGGCGCCGGAGGCGCCGCCAGGAGCGCACACGCCCCGACCCAAGAAATCCGCGCAGAACTCAAAGAAACTATGCCTGTGTATGCCAGTTTTTGTTAGGGCAGATTCGCCGAGAGGATCTTTCAACCTTGAACGATCGGCCGATTCCGAAGCGTCAGATCGTTCACCATGGATGGATTCTGGGTCGCTGGCGGCGCTCAACGATGGACGCCAGCGGCGAGGTCGCCTCCGCTGGTCAACACGACGCGAACTCACCGTAATTTCGACGGTCCGTGCGGATTTCTTGGATCAGCGCTGGAGCCCACTGGCGGCGCCGCAGGCGCGGCCCCTGGCGCGCTCCAAGCGCTATGGAGGGGGGTCCAGCGCCGATCCAATAAATCAGAGCTGGCCCCGGGCAATTCATGTTTGTGTCTTTGTGTTTGTGTCTTTGTTCGTTCCTCGAAAGGGCGGGCGGGTGCTGAGGGACACGTTCTGTGGCGACTCGTAGGAGCCTACCGTGCGACTCTGCTGGCGCTTGCGAATCGACGCTCGCCGACGCGACTCGACGGTAACCGTCGCTGAATAGGTGCAAATGGACGCCAAATCGGCGCTGCCTCGTCTACTGCCAGACGCCAGTGCACGCTGGGGCACTCTAAAGACGGCATTCCGAGGACGCACGAAGCTCCCATCGACTGCTTCTGGAGAAACGGGTCCTGGACCCCAGGGCTTGCTCCGGGGGCCATCAGAAAAGGGCGACTGAAGACACTGGAAGCTCAAGATCGGCTCAAAGTCGGTCCCCGCCCGGCCGTGGCGACGAGGGGCCCCCCGAAGGCCAACTGCCAGTGTCTCAAGCGGCCCTCCGCTGAGACCAGCCTTTCGCCCCTGGGCCGCCGGTCGGCACGCCGCGAACCCACAGTCAACCCGCATAGTAGGGATGCGCGATCAGGATGCAAAGGGCCTTGGACGCCCATTTCAAAGCTTTTCGTTTTTGTTTTGTTTTTACTTTTTTTGTCCCGCTCAAGCAATCCTCGCGGCCACGCTGGGTTCATAAGTCCTCTCGTGTGCTGTGGTCGGATCACGACGAAACCCGCCGAGCAGAATCAACAGATCCGCTGCTCCAGGCTCCTCGAGCGGGCCGCGGCCACCGAACGCGGCCCAAGATGGGCCGAGAGGGCAAGGGCGCGAGGGTGCCCTTGGGACGGCTGCCCGTCCTCATTAATCGGGAGCGGCCAAGAGGGGGGTGTCCAAGAGGCGGGGGTGCAAATCATGACCAGCGGCATGTGCGCGGCCCAGCGGGGGGGCCAGGGACGTGAAGAACTAAGAAGAGGCGCCATGAAATCTGGGGAACTATCATGGCCCATGCCAGGAGATCCCCACCCCCCTAGTCATCACCCCCCTCTTTGCCGCCCCCGAACTACGCGGGTCGACTGCACGGCTGCCTTCGGCCCCCGTCGCGCATCGGTCCTGCGCGCTGGCGACGAGGCGCTCCCAGCCCGCGGCCCGCGCCTCCACGGCCAGCGGCGCCCCCGCCCGGCCCGGCGGCAGGCGCACGCGCACGCCGCCGCCGCCGCAGGGGCCCAGGATCTCGGCCCTGGCGCCGCCCACCAGCACCTTGGTGGGGGGCATCAAAGGGGTGCTCTTTTGGGTGTGCGTGCGCGGGTGTGTGTGTGTGTGTGTGTCGGTGCGTGTGAGTGCGTGTGCGTGTGTGTACGTGCATGTGTGTACGCCTGCTTACGTGTGTGTGTGTGTGTGCGTGTGTGTGCGTGTGTGTGCGTGTGTGTGTGTGTGTGTGTTTGTTTGTGCGGACGGCCGCGCGCGCTTTTTTTGTTCTCTCTCTCTCTCTCTCGAATTGGACTTCTACGCATCGTCCACGCCTCGTCGCTGCGCGCGAGGCCGCGACCACCGAAAAAGTGCATGTGTGTGTATGTGTCTGCTTGTGTGCATTTGTGTGCATGTGTGTGTGTGCTTGAGTGCGAGCGTGCGTGCGTGTCTTTTGTTCTACGTGTGCGTGTGCTTGCGTGTGCGTGCGTGCGAGCGTGTGGGCGTGCGTGCGTGCGTGCGTGCGTGTGTTGTGTGTATGTGTGTGTGTGTGTGTTTGTGCGTGTGCGTGATGGTGCTGCGTCTGAAGGCCTGGCCGCGCGCGCTAGCTCGTTGCCGATTTTTCTACTTGCTCCGCCTCGTCGCCGCGCGCGAGGCCGCGACCGCCAAAATGCGTGTGTGCGTGTGTGTGAGTGTGTCCGCGCGCGTGTTTCTGTGAATGTGTGTGTGTGTGTGACCGGCGCGATGCGTCCCGCGGACTTGTTCTGGCAGGTACCTGTGCCACCACTCCTTGGACCTCGTTCGGTGCGCATACTTGTGACCAGGATCTTGAGGCGAATCCTGTCGTTGCGACGAAGGGGCCTGGTGAGCAAACCAACAGTTCCCGATGCTGAGGGGTCTGCCAAAACAGGGTGTTGAGTCGTAGTTTCGCGGGGTGCGTTATCACCATGATCGCGAAGTGAATCCAGCTGTGGTGGCGACGAGAAGGGGCCCCCAAGGGGCCGAGCAAAGTCAAAAGGCCGGAAGGGGTAGCGGCAGCGGTGACTTTTCCTCTGCCGAGCCTCGGCGATGGGAGCGCCCAGCCCCGCGGCGGCCACCTCCAGAATAACAAAACACGGCATACATAGTTTCTCGGAGTGCGAGGCGGGGATTTATCCATATCCACCGCCTGGGAACCGACGTCCGGGTGCCCCAGCGGGCGGTGGATATGGATATAGTTCGGCCCCCGGGGGCCCGAATATGTCCATATCCACCGCCTGCCGAGGCTCCGAAAACTGACCCTCCAGGCGGTGGATATGGACACGTTCCCTCCTCGGACGGAGGTCCGCGCGGATGTCATGGATCGATCGGAGCTCAAACGCTCTCCGTGTCGGGAGCGGCCAAGAGGGGGGTGCCCAAGAGTGGGGGGTGCAAATCATGACCAGCGGCATGTGCGCGGCCCAGCGGGGGGGCCAGGGACGTAATGAAACAAGAAGAGGCGCCATGAAATCTGGGGAACTATCATGGCCCACGCCATGATGTCCATCCCCCCCTAGTCATCCCCCCCCTCCTTTTCCGCCCCCGACCGTGGCGCGCGGAGCGCGCCGGGGGCGGCGCCGGAGTCGCCGTCAGGGAGGCCCAGCGCCGATCCAAGACGTCTGGGCGGGCGGACCTCCGAGAAAGCCCAGCAGGCCCTTGAGGGATGAAAACACGACCCTGCCCTGGGTTACAAGCGCGTGGTCTGTAAACCTCCTGGAACCCCCAAAGCCTAGAGCCGCCAGGACGCGGCACATCACGCAGGGTTTACCCTGTCAGCCCACAGGAGTTTCAGCGCACAGCGCCTCGTAAACCAGGGTAGGGGTGTTTTTGTTTTGCCTTTGACTTCAGGGCGTGAGTGGTCTAGAGAAAACCCCCTGCCAACCTCATTTCTCCCCCTTTCGGGGGAAACGTCAACCCCTCCCCCATGCCCCCTTTCCCTGGACATGGACGGGGTGTTTCGCGAGGGTTCGGAGCGTCCAAAACGGCCTTGGCGATAAGGCCCACCTCAGTGATTTTACCAGGGTTGTGGTCTCAATGTGGCCTCTTGTGGGTTCCCAAGGGTACTCCAGAACGGCCCCAAGAGGTATCCAGGAGGCCCCAAAAAGACTCGACGAGGCCCCCCAAATGTCCCAAGAGGCCCCCAAGAGACCCCCAAGAGGCCTAAGAGGCCCCCCGGGGCACCCTTTGCGCCCCAAGAAGTCCACTGAGACTGCCAGGAGACCCCCAAGATGCCCCGACAAGCCTGCAGCAACCTGTCAAGAGACGTCCGGAGAGACTCCGAGAAGCACGTGAGAGGCCTCTGGCCTCTGCTCGCCCTCTTCCGCCTCCTCTTCCTCATCCGCCTGATCCTTCCCCCTTCTCCATCCTCCCTCCGCCCCCTCTCTCGCAACCGTTTCTGCGATTCCCTGTCCGCGCCGGCTCTCGGGCGCGCGGGCGCGCGCGCGGCGCGGGCCCGGGCCCTATCTGGACGCCGCCGGAGAATCGTTTCCACGGGGGGGGAGGCCACCACACTGCTTCCCCCATCTCCTGGAGCCCAAAATGAAGAGGGGAAGGAAGAGGAGCGGAAGTATATTGTCAGTAGCGTCGTACTTGTAGTGCCCTTGTCCGTAACGCTGCGCCGGCCTTTGATGCTATGCCGACATCGTGTTGCACAAACGGTTTCCCCTCTGCAACTTCCGCCGGGTTGTAGCTCTGCCTAACGTGGACTCTCGGCCGTCCTCCCGTCGGATCGTAGTCTACCAGGCGCCGATCTGCATTACTACACGATCGACGTACTTCTTGACACCCATGGTGATCGGTCGCTTGGTCTCCTTGGGCGCCCGATTGCGGCGGTGTCCTTCAGCCTCGTAAGTGCCAAGCTTCCCAACAGGTCATGTCTCAAAGCACTTCGCTGATATTCTGGAGTGGGCCCTGCTAATTTTACTCTCCACGTTTTGCCACTGCTGCTCCAATAGCTGCTGGAAATGTGTTTCTGCGTATTCCCCCTGCCAGCATATATCCAATCGTAAACGGCCCTCTCGCGCTCAGCAGGAGGCCTTCGTAGCTGAGCGGGGGGTCAACGTAGCTCTGCGCGTGGCCCTTGTAGCCCAGCTTGTGGTCATCGTTGTTCAGCTGGTGGCCCAATAGCTGTGCTGGAAATTTTCGTGGGTCAGCCCGTGGCCCCGGTAGCTCCGCCGGTGGCCCTCGTAGCTCATGAGGTGGCCCTGGTAGCTCCGCTGGTAGCGCGCGTATCGCAGCTGGTGGCTCTCGGAGCTCTGCTTGCGGCCCTCGTAGCACAGTCTGCTGCCCTCGAGGCTCAGCATGTGGTCCTCGAAGCTGTGCTGAAGTTCTCGCGGCTCTGCTCGTGACTCTTGTCGTTCAGCTGGTGGCACTCGAAATCATATTCGAAGCTTTCGCTGCTCACCCTGTGGCCCTTGTAGCTCAGCCGGCGGTCCTCGTAGCCATGCGCGTGGCCCTTGTAGCCCAGACTGAGGCCGCCGTGGCTCAGCAGGTGGCCTTCGGAACTCTCTTAGCTGTGCCTGTGATCCTCGTAGCCCAGCTCGCACACCTTGTGGCTGTGCCGGTCGGTCTCGTAGCCATGCCTCTGGGCCTCGTAGCTCAATTCGTGGTCCTCGAAATTCTGCTGGGGGCCCTAGTAGTTATTTTTGGGTGCTGTAGTAGCTGTGCCTGTGGTCCTCGTAATTATGTGTGTTGTCCTCGTAGCCCAGACGGTGCCTCCGGTAGCTCAGCTGGTGGTCCTCGTAGCTCAGCTGGTGGCCCCCGTAGCGCAGCACACGGCACTCGTTGTTCGGCTGGTGATCCTCGTAGCCCTGCTTGTGGTCTTCGTTGCTCAGCATGCGGGCCGCGTGACTGACCTAGTGGCTGTCGTGGCGATGCTGGTGGCTCTCGTAGCTCAGCAAGAGGGTCTCGAGATCTTTTCTGGTGGCTCTCGTAGCTGTGCCTGTGGTCCTCGTGGCTCTGCTGGTGGTCCTCGAAAGGCCGCTGATGGCCCCGGTAGCACTGCTGGAGGCTTCGTGGCTCGGCATATGGCTCTCGAAGCTTTGCTCGTGGCTCTCGTCGCTGCGCTGGTGGCTCCCGTAGCTCTCCTGGTAGTGGCTCACCTGGTGGGCCTCGTAGCCCTGCTTGTGGCTCACGTAAGTCAGCTCGCGGTCCTCGTAGTTCATTTTGTGGCTCTCGTTGCTGGTGGCTCTCGTAGCTGGGCTGGTAACTCTGCTTGGGGCTGCAGCACGCAGGGGGCGGGCTCTCTTCGTAGTCTCCGAGGTCCGGATCGGAGTCGTCGGCTGCCAAGTCGTAGCGTTCCACGTTCTGGAAGCGGAAACAATCCTGGGAGCCGTAAGCGTACAAGTCACTGTAGTTGTCGCCGTGCTGGTCGCTGTACTGCTCGCCGTACGGCTAGACCCCACAGATGCTGCGCTGGGACATGCACGACGATGTAATGTCAGTGCTGATATATGTGCGCATGGTGCTCTCGTATAGCATCTCTCTCGTGCGTGCTCTCGTATAGCACGTCTTCCGTATGTTTCCGCGCGTACTCTCGTACAGCACCTCTTCCCTCTTTGTCGTACTTGGTGTCGTACTTGCCGCATCCGGTGTTGTACTTGCTGTCGTAATTGGCGTCGTACTTGGCATCCGCCATGGCGGCCACCATGTGGGATACGTTACTCCATCTGGCGCTCAGGCAGGCCGAGCCGCATACCATAGCCAAGCCTGCGTGCCGCAATTCGCAAAAGCCAAGGTCTCGGAAGTGAGGAGGCCCAGGCGAGCGCGCGTCGAAAAGACCCCCCCAAGAGAAAAGCCGAGAGTGGCACGGTACTCGCACGGCCGCAGCCCCGCCGCGGGACAGCCTCCCCGAAACGAGAGAGGACCGAGTCGGAAGACCCGTCACATTCACCTCGTAGCGATGTGACGGGCCTTCCGAGTCGGAAGGCCCGTAACGTTCATCTCGTAACCAACTCTCCTCGTGCTAATCTCTTGCCTGTTGGCGCCCGCTGTGCCGTCCTCGCGCGAAAAGCGGCCAGCGGGCTCAGGCTGGCCCCGCTGCCCCGGGGCCTCGAGTGCGGGGGATGGATACCGCACATGGCCTTACCCCCCCTCCCGCTCCTCCTCCTCCTCCTCCTCTTATCCTCCTCATCTTCCTCCCTCATCCTCCTCCTCCTCTTTTTCCTCCTCATCATCTTCCTCCCTCCTCCTCCTCCGCCTCCTCCTCCTCTTTTTCCTCCTCTGGTTCCTCCTCCAGCCTCCCCCTCTTGGGGTATGATGGCTTCCTAGTCTTTATTCCACTGCGTGCTCCTCAACATGCATGATCATGGCAACTCGCCTGGGCATCGTTTCTGGATGGGCTGGTGGTGTCACGCGAAACGTCTACAATTATGCGTATGCCGTCTCCTGCATGGCTCGTTTTGTGTTCGTTACCCTCCTGCTAGACGAGACCAGAACGAAAACGGCCCACGGAATACCCAACACACCGTTCAGCTCCGGCCCCGGTCTCGAGCAGGGACCGACCGTCCCAGCATACCCATAGGCAAATCACGGAAGTCTTTGCAAATAGAAACATGCTCGTATAACAAAAAAAGTTGTCCGAGAAATGATTCAAACAAGACGGCCTCCGCCAGAAATTGGGCGCCCGAGTTATCCGGGGTAACTCGGGCCCGGGGCAACTCGGGTTTGGATTCCCGAAAAACGAACCCGAGTTAGCCCTGACCCGAATTATCCCTGATGATTTAGGGCTCTGGACGCCCGAATCATCCGGGGTAACTCGGGCCCGGGGCAACTCGGGTTCGGATTCCCGAAAAACGAACCCGAGTTAGCCCTGACCCGAGTTACCCCTGATGATTCGGGTCTCTGAAGAAATGCTCCACGTGAGAGCACCCCGCGAAGGCCACGCGAGCCCCTCGGACCACTCTTCCGGGGGCCCGCGGGCCAGCCGGGGCGCCTCGCAGCTGCTCGACGGCTTTCTTCGGGCCGGGCGAAAGGGGGGGATAGCAAAGAGGGAGGTTGAGCATCAGCTCACGCAGCTGATTTTCCCGGCGCCTCCCGGCGCCGAAGGCGGCTATGTCTCGAGGAATGGGCCCCTCGTTAGTGCCCAAACCAGCTGCATGCAGCAAATTTCGTAACCACCCCTTTCCCAATCCCCCCCTTTCGTCTGGCCTGATTTTTGTTGCTCCTCGGGGCCTCGGCCTCGCACCCCTCGCAGGCCCCGAAGGCGGGGCGGACCCGCACGGCGGCGCAGCCGTCCTCGGCGGGCGGCGCTGCGGCCGCCGCCCCGCTGGAGTCGGCGGCGCCGGCCGCGGGGCCGCGCGCCTGCTCGGGGTCCCCTTGCTGCACGAGCTGTGACAGCAGTCCTACCCTAGGGGAACCAAAAAAGTGACATAAACAGAAAAACTCGGAGGTCCGCGCGGATTTCTCGGATCGGCGCTGGGGCCCCCTGGCGGCGCCACCCCTGGCGCGCTCCTCCGAGTTTTTATGTTTATGTCACTTTTTGTTCCCCTACACTCGGCGCCACGAGGGGAGCGAGCAGCGGGAGGCTTGGAAAGGAGCACCAACACCAACACAAGGGGGGGCTGCCTCCGCCGAGGGAGGATGATCCAAGATTCTGGTGTTCGTGGACCTACTCCGGCCGCCTGAGGAGCCCAAACATTACCACCATCACCGAGCTCAGGGTCATCTTCCATCGGTGGAGGCACACCGCCGATACTGCTGCTCGTGTTATCCTCTAGGCCTGCGAAACAATGACATCAGCATTCGGAGGTCCGCGCGGATGCCTCGGATCGGCGCTGGGCCATCCCCCGTTGACCTCTTGCGCCGCCCCTGCCGCGCTCCGCGCGCCATGGGCCGATCCGCCGAGAAGTCTGCGCGGACCTCCGAGCTGCTGTGTCTACGTCGCTGCTTGTGCACCTAATTACACAAAATGCCGCATTCGACGAGCTGGATCCAGGATGCGCTTCAGAGACTTTCCAGGACCAAAAAGGTTGACGCCGTGTTGGCATGCGGCTGCTCGAACGTCGATCTTTGAACGTAACCTGCTAACCGAATTGCTCGACTCAACTGACGGAATCAATCTGAAGAACGACGTTTAAAACTCTGGGCGGCCAAATTAGGCCCGCGTAGCTGAGGGCGTGTGGGGTCGCTGGGCGTGCGTAAGAGGTGCGCGCTGGCATCATATGTACTAATTATTTTTGATAATACCTAAACGAAGAACGTAGTGGTCGTTGGTCGATTCGGAATGATCGTGTTGGGCATGCCTACACGAAATTGGAGCATGTCTGAATTAATGTGCGTCGTTTTGACATGCTTTTGAGCATGCCCTGAACTAGTTTAGAGCGGCAGTGCCTTTTCGGTGGCGAGCCTGGGGGGAAGCGAGGAGGGGGTGGGCCTTCTCAGAAGGATCGGAAGGCCTCCAGCCTTTTGGGCAAATTGTCCGAGCCTTCTCCGAAAACAGAGACGGCTTCTCAAAGGCCGGAGGGCTTCTGTTTGAACGCCCGAAATGGGTACGGAAAAGATGGGTACAATGCCCAACAACAAATGTCGTCCCAAACCAACAGCGGCCGCTGTTGGGCAGGCGGCCTTCTGTCTCAAATGGACACGGGCCGCGGCGGCGCGGACAGCGAGTCCTGCTCGAAATGCACAGGAACTGCTGTTGGGCATTGTACCCATTCTTTCCGTGCCCATCTCGTGCGCGCAGAGAAGGAGGAGGAGGCGGAGGAGGAGGAGGAGGGGGAAGAGGAGGAGGAGGAGGAGGAGGAGGAGGAGGAGGAGGATTGCTGCTGTTGGGCACTGTACCCATTCTTTCCGTACCCATTTCGTCCGTGCCGACTCCGAGCAGCCCCACTGCCTTCTGAGCAGGCCTGCCCCCTCTCTCCACTCCCCCCGTCGGCACCGATCGCGACCGCCTCCCGAAGCGGTCGCGGCCAGCCGCGACCGATTTTGAAGCAACTCGGTCGCGGCCGGTCGGTGGGGACGCGTGTTTGAAGAGGCCCTGGGACACACAAATAGATACACACAAATAAACATATGCCCCATATTTTGCCATTTGTTCTGGGTTTGTGTCCTCCCCCCCACTTCCCATATTTCCCCGTATTCTCTGCGGAATCGACGATTCATTGTGTCCGTGTGCTTTTTCCCCCCCTGAGTTTTGGCCTTCCCCCCCCCCATGGCTCGCCACGGATCTTCAGCTCGCCATCGCTCGGACGTCCATGCCCGTGCGTTTTTGTTCGGCTTCGCGCGCGCATGTTTGCGCAGGCGGGCCCGGGAAGGCTCCTCGATGGCCCTCGCCGAGGAGACACGCACGCGTCCGAGCGATGCTCGCGCGTGAAGACAGACCCAAGAAGAAAAGAAACATCCGGGAGCAGGAGGAGGGGGAGGGAGGAGGAGGAGGAAGAGGATGGGGAGGGAGGAGGAGGAGGAGGAGGAGGAGGAGGAGGACCCGTGCAAATCCAGGAGTCATCAACGATGTTGGAATCAACCCACCCTCCAAGCTCCCTCTTCACAAGCCCCTACAAAGGTTCATTTCAATTGGGGGGACTTCCTCGTTGGAAGACAACCGTTCGAAGACCCTGAAGCATACCAAACCATTGTTCTCGGGATCCCAACGCCACAGATCAACCTGACTGTTGCGTGTTGACGATCCTGACAAGTGCCAGAACGCAATTCCTGGGACTCCAACACATCGAATCAACGTAACTGTTGCGCCCGCGTAATCCAGAATCCTTTCAAAACATCTTTTCTGGTACGTTGATGATGGGAATCCGTGGAACTCTTGCAACTGTTCAAAACGAATGTGCGCCGCGCTAAGGCGAGAACCACATTCTGAAAACGACCCGCCCTCAACCCGCGTGAAACTCTCGCAAATGTTTAAAACGAATGTGCGCCGCGCTACGGCGAGAACCACATTCTGAAAAAGACCCGCCCTCAATCCGTGAAGCTCTCGCAGATGTTTAAAACGAATGTGCGCCGCGCTACGGCGAGAACCACATTCCGAAAACGGCCCGCCCTCAATCCGCGTGAAAATCTCGCTAATGTCTAAAACGAACGTGCGCCGTGCTAGGGCGAGAACCACATTTTGGAAACCATCCGCCCTCAACCCGTGAAACCGTTGCGACTTGTACAACGAATGTGCGCCGCGCTGTTAAGGCGAGGGTCACATTTTGAGAACCGCCCGCCCTCCACCTGCGAAGCTGCTACCAACTTTGAAGCTGCAGAATCACAAGTGCCGAGGAAATCTGATGTCAAACGCCTGTGGAAAAGGGGCCCCCGGACACACAAATAAATACACACAAACAAAACGATCCCCCATATCTTATCATATGTTCTGGGTTTTTTGTTTCCCCCCCCACTTCCCATACTTTCCCATATTTTCCTAGGAATCGACGATTAATTCCCAACCATCCTGCGTTAGGTTCTCGTTTTGAATAGAGCACTGCTCGCGCCTTCCTTCCCGCCCCCCCCGTCCCTCTCTTCCCCCCTGCCTTCGCTCGCCGCCGCGTGCAAGCTGGGGGGCTGCGATCTGTGAAACTGTCGCCACTTTCGAAGCCTGCTGGGGGGCCCAGCACAGTGGGTACCCACGGCGGACTCAAATGGGACCTCGCTGTCCCTGGGGGGTTGCGACCTGTGAAACTGTCGCCACTTTCGAGGCCTGCTGGGGGGGGGCCCAGCACAGCGGGTACCCACGGCGGACTCAAATGGGACCTCGCCATCCCTGGGGGTCTGCGATATGTGAAACTGTCGCCACTTTCGAGGCCTGCTGGGGGGCCCAGCGCAGTGGGTACACACGGCGGACTCAAATGGAACCTCGCCATCCCTACGGGGCTGCGATCTGTGAAACTGTCGCCTCTTTCGAGGCCTGCATGGGGGCCCAGCGCAGTGGGTACACACGGCGGACTCAAATGGGACCTCGCCATCCCTGGGGGTCTGCGATATGTGAAACTGTCGCCACTTTCGAGGCCTGCTGGGGGGCCCAGCACAGTGGGTACACACGGCGGACTCAAATGGGACCTCGCCATCCCTGGGGGTCTGCGATATGTGAAACTGTCGCCACTTTCGAAGCCTGCCGGGGGGCCCAGCACAGTGGGTACACACGGCGGACTCAAATTGGACCTCGCCATCCCTGGGGGGTTGCGATAAGTGAAACTGTCGCCACTTTCGAAGCCTGCTGGGGGGCCCAGCACAGTGGGTACCCACGGCGGACTCAAATGGGACCTCGCCATCCCTGCGGGGGCTGCGATATGTGAAACTGTCGCCACTTTCGAGGCCTGCTGGGGGGCCCAGCGCAGTGGGTACACACTGCGGACTCAAATGGGACCTCGCCATCCCTGGGGGGCTGCGATGTGTGAAACTGTCGCCACTTTCGAGGCCTGCTGGGGGCCCAGCACAGTGGGTACACACGGCGGACTCAAATGGGACCTCGCCATCCCTGCGGGTCTGCGATGGGTGAAACTGCCGCCACTTTCGAAGCCTGCTGGGGGGCCCAACGCAGTGGGTACACACGGCGGACTCAAATGGGACCTCGCCATCCCTACGGGGCTGCGATCTGTGAAACTGTCGCCACTTTCGAAGCCTGCTGGGGGGCCAAGCGCAGTGGGTACACACGGCGGACTCAAACTAAACCTCGCCATCCCTGGGGGGCTGCGATCTGTGAAACTGTCGCCACTTGAGGGGCTTGCTGAGGGGCCCAACACAGTGGGTACCCACCGCAGACTCAAATTAGACCTCGCCATCCCTGGGAGGCTGCGATCTGTGAAACCTTCGCCACTTTCGAGGCCTGCTGGGGGGCCCAGCACAGTGGGTACACACGGCGGACTCAAATTAGACCTCGCCACCCCTGGGGGGCTGCGATATGTAAACTGTCGCCACTTTCGAGGGCTGCTGAAGGGCACAGCACAGTGGGTACCCATCGCAGACTCAAATTCGACCTCGCCATCCCTGGGGGGCTGCGATCTGTGAAACTGTCGCCACTTTCGAGAGTTGCTGAGGGGCACAGCACAATGGGTACCCACCGCAAGACTCAAATTAGACGCCGCGTTCGTCCTTGTTCTCCTCCTGCAGTCACCTTCCCTCTGCTGCTGCCGTGCTGATGGTTCGGCTTCGCGCACGTTTTTCTCCTGCTCTGCGTTCCCGACTCCCCATGTCCTCTTCGAGCCTGTAGCTGTCGCCCCTCGTTCTTGTATGGTTCTCCTGCGCATCATGCCATAGGCGCGTGTCCCAAGTAGCTTACACATCAAGTTGATTGTCCATGGAAGGTTCGGCCAACTCCTCGTTTCCATTGATACAAATGGGTTGGGTACGTCACAGGGTAATTGTGTCTGTGTGTTTTTTTCCTCTCCTGAGCCTGGCCCGCCCCAGAAACTGGCCTCGGGGTGCGACAGGGAGAAGTTGTTTATAAGGAAAGGGAATGGAGGGGAGGGGAGGAGGAGCGCGCACACCCTGCGCGGCGGGCCGTCTGTCTCGGCGCGCCGCCCGAGCGCCCGCGCGGCGCGACGACCCCCGCCGCCCCGCCGCGGGCACGGCACGCCCTCGCGGCACGGCGCCGTCCGCCGCCGCCGCGCGGGCGAGCTCGGGAGGAGGAGGAGGAGGAGGAGGAGGAGGAGGAGGAGGCGGAGGAGGAGGAGGAGCAGGAGGAGGAGGAGGGGGAGGAGGGAGGAGGAGGAGGAGGAGGAGGAGGAGGAGGAGGAGAAGGGAGGAGGAGGAGGAAGAGGAGGAGGAGGAGAGGAGGGTGAGGAGGAGGAGGGGGAGGGAGGAGGGAGGGAGGGAGGGAGGGGGGAGGGAGGGAGGAGGAGGAGGAGGAGGAGGAGGAAGAGGAGGAGGAGGAGGAGGAGGAGGAAGAGGAGGAGGAGGGGGAGGAGGAGGGGGAGAGGGACCCAGCGCCTGCTCCAACTCCTGCTCGAACTGCCCGCTCGCGGCCTCCGCGGCCCGGCCCCAGGACGCGGCCAGCCGCGCGCCGGCGCCGAGCAGCGCGTGCAGCGTCTGGCGCACGTGGGTGGTGCGGCGCTGGGCGAAGACGCCCATGGCGTCCTGTCGGCCACACGCAGGAGCCCCAGGTCCTCCTCCTCCTCCGCCTCCCTCCTCTCCTCCTCCTCCTCCGGTCCTCCTCCTCCTCTCCCTCCTCCTCCTCCTCCTCCTCCTCCTCCTCCTCCTCTCCTCCTCCTCCTCCTCCTCCTCCTCCTCCTCCTTCCTCCTCCTCCCTCCTCCTCCTCTCTCTCCTCCTCCTCCGCCTCCTCCTCCTCCTCCTCCTCCTCCTCCTCCTTCTCCTGGCCCTCCCAGTAGGGCGAAGAGAAAGTATCACTGAGACTTCAACGTCAGAATCCCAGTCGAGGCCTCAGGCCGTCCAGGTGGGCCTGCAGGTCTGGAGGGCTACTCTGCACAGCCTGGAAGGGCGGGGGTGACCCTGGGCGAGGCACCGCTTTGGTTCTATTCGCGATAGCGCCCATGACCGCCCCCGCCGACCACGTCCCCATCCACCCTCCCTGGTCACGTAACGGTTCGCACCGGCGCCATCTGGGGATGAGCCATTCTAGGCATTGTGTAAGCATTCCCAGACGGTGCCAGCGCGGATCGTGACGTCACTGGCCCCCTCTCCTCTCCCCCTCCTGGTGCGACAATGGCTGCCTGTGCGCTTGGGTTTGACCGTCCCGCGCCCCAAAGCCGCGAACCCTAAGGCACTCCGCCGACGGGTCACCTCTTACGTGCAGCCGAGTCACAATCGCTGGCGCGGATTGCCCCGTCTCGCCACCGACGAAAAAAAGAGTAGCCGAGTCCTGGCAGGCCTGCTGCCGGTCCCGCGCCACCTCTCGGCGAAGAAAGAGCAGCACCCGCATAGGCGTTCGGAGGTTCGCACGGAGTTCTCCGAACGGCACGGGAGACCCTGGAGACCCCCTTGGCGGCGCCTCCGTCGCCCAGCGCCGATCCGAGAAATCCGCGCAGACCTCCGAAAGTTCATGCCTACAGTCGGGGCGTTGACTTAAGGAACCCTAAATAAGGAACGAGGCCCCTTGTCCTCCATAAGTTAAGCTTCGATTTCCCACAGAAAACCAAAAGGAAAACCCAAGGCAAACTGCGAAACAATTAAGGAACACAGAGCCCCTCCCCAACACAAAGGGTTCCTTCTTCAGCGCCCCGACTGTATGCCGCTTATCGCTCTGTGAACCTCCCTGGCGCGGTCGCGCTTCTCGACGTTCCGCGCCAGCTTGTCTCGCTCGGAGGGCGTGATCGTGGCGAGCTTCTCCTCGTAGTGCTGCAGCTCCGCCGTGGCCTCCTCATAAAGGGGCCCCAGGACACACAAACAAATACACACAAATAAACAGATCCCCCATATTTTCTTAAATTTTCTGGGTTTCTGTCCTCCCCCCCACTTCCCATATTTTCCCGTATTTTGCTTGGAATCAGCGATTGATTGTGTCTGTGTGTCTTTCCCTCCTGATCCTCATTGCCCCGCACCAGCTGCGCTACCTCGTCGCACTCGGAGGCCACGCAGTCGCACATGAGCCGGATGTCTGCCAGCTGGCTCGCCCGCAACGCATCCTTGGGGCGCAGGAGGGCGTACTGACCCGATGCTGGTTGCGCGATGATCGACTGACCCCTAACAACAATTATCCCAGTGCGACCCTACCTAGGAGTTGGAGCCTCTAGGAAAGCAACATTAGTAGGAACGGTAAACGCCGTAGATATATCGCAGCAGCAAAAATAGTGGATGCTGTGCTGCGCTATGCTATGCTCTGCTCTGCTCTGCTCTGCTCTGCTCTGCTGTGCTGCGCAATGCTATGCTGGGCCAGGCTAGGCTAGGCTAGGCTATGTTATGCTATGCTGCGCTATGCTATGCTATGCTATGCTATGCTATGCTATGCTATGCTTTTGCTTTGCCTTCGCTTTTGCTTTTGCTTGGCACCCAGGGAGCGCAACTGGGGGAACCGCGCGTTTGCTTTTACCTTTGCTGTTGCTTGTGCTTGGCTCCCAGGGGACTGGGGGAACCGCCCGGGGCGCGTTCCACTGACCGGCCCCTTTAAGCTAGAGAGTAAGAACCCTTCTAGGCAGAGCCTAGGTAGGGAATAAGCGACTGCCCATCTTGGACATACATGGACAACCCTTTGCCGCGACATGGTCAAGCATGGGCCACGTCTACATCGCAGAGCGGGGGTGAGGGCTGGGAAGGGCCTTGCCGCGATTTGTGACCGCCCCGATCGGGGCAACGACCTCCCAAACCGACCTGGAGGTTTCGTTCAGGGTCGGATATCACGCAACGATCTGCGTCCCACTGACTATATTCAGGTCGGGCATGTCCTCCTACGGGCGGATCTTGGGCGAACATCCCGAGTAGTCCCGACATGCATATCCAAAGGTAGTCAAGAGCGAATTGAAACATCGTCCCCAGACTATTCTAATGTCGGGCGTGTCCCCCTACAGGGGGATTTTTGACGAAAAAAAATGAAATAACCCCAAAATGCACCAAAAAGGTCAAAAAATACTAAAAAACTAGTCCCTGGACTATTTTTGGATTATTTTTGGGGCACTTTTTATTTTTCGTCGAAGATCCCCCTGTATGGGGACAGGCCCGACTTAAGACTATTCTTGTTTACTAGTTTTGAATATTCCTCCCGTCGAGGGGCACGCCCGACTTCGGCGTGCGTGCCAGCAGAGAACTCCGAGCGCGCGCGCGCCGCCCCCGGGGGGGGGCCCACGCGCACAACAGGTGCCTGCGAACGCCTGGGCGACGCGCCGACGTCCTGGCACCCCGCGAAGAAGGAAGCGCACGCCGTCACGAGCATCATCGCGGACGCGTCCATCGAGTCGGAGGAGATGTCGAACGCGAGGTACTCCTAGGGGGCCACGTGCGAGCCCTACCCCTCCCCCTCAGAAATCGTGGGGGGTAGGGGTAGGCTTCGCATGTGGCCCCCTAGCTCCTGCACGGCCTGCATCAGGCCCATCTGCGCCAGGTTCAGGCCCTCGTAGCTCTCCGCCATCTTCCGGGCCGCGTCCTGCACGGCGCTCACCTGGGGAGGCGGAGACGTGCCAACAGTTCCCGCTGCTGCCCGGACCTCTTCTGGAGTGCGTGCTGACTGAGGATTTCGAGGCGACTCCAGCGTTGGCGACGAGGGCCTGCCAGGAGGCCCCCCGAGGCGAGAACGACAGAAGTGCCCAGCGGTGTCGGTGCCTCTTCCTCCGCGGATCACAAGCTTCCGGTGAGGCTCGACATCGAGCTGGAACGACGAGGCGGTGACTGGGCGCCTCGGGCGCCCAGTGAAGCTGCCGGTGGCCTTCAGCATTGCCACCGCCCGCGCGCGCGGCCCCGGCAACGCGAGCTCGGGCGTCGAGAAACGGGGGTGCGGTAAATTTCAGGAGAGACAAATGTACCACCACCACCACCAGCTAGAAGGGTGGCCACTCCCTCCCCTCGAGCTGGTGGCACCTCCTTCCGGGAACTCTCTGCAGGCATGCCCAGAACGAGGTGCCACCAGCGCGAGAGGGTGGGACAGCCCCCCCCTAGCTGGTGGTAGTCTGAGTGGGCCCTGGAAACGACAAGGCCGTTTTTTTTTCGGTTCCGTTTTGCCGTTTTTGTTGCCGGTTCCGACGCCGTTTTTTTACCGGTTCCGTCGCCGTTTTTTGACCGGTTCCGGCTCCGGTTCCAATCCTGGAGCCGTTTTTTTGGCCGTTTCCAGTCGCCGTTTTTGTTGCCGCTTCCATTCTCAAGGGGCATTTTTCTGGAAACGGTGAAAAAACGGCCCTGCCGTTTCCGGGGCCCAGAAAGGTGGTAGTGGTACACCATGCGAAATGCTTAAGAAATCATGGGTTAAGAAATTCATAGTCTCAGAAATTGAATAAAACCCAGAACTTCTATCAAAATCTTGGGATTTACATTGAAAAAGTTAAGAATAATCGAGACTCTGGACGAAAACTTAGGTTTTCTTAAGCATCGCCTAAGGTGTACTTTTGTCTCTGGCGAAAACTTGGGGGGGAAAGAAGAACGGTGCACCTCTTGTGCCCTACAAGGGGCCCCCTGGGGCCCACAAGGGGCACGAAAGGTGCACACGTTTCTCCCCCCCCCATTATTATCGCCCCCGATTAACTACAGTGGGGGCCCATGCCAAGAAACACCCTGCTTGCCTCCGGGGTGCCCTGGGTTTCTTGGGTTTCAGTGGTTTTGCTGTGGAAAGCGTGACGTTCCCACACCACAGATCAATGGACGTCCTGGGGGCTCCGGGTTGGGTTTCTTGGGGACGGTTTCTTGTGGACTGGCCGCCACTGCAACGCCCGACGAGCCGTCTGGCCACGCGGGTCCAGGGCAGCCGCCCGGGCGGGGCGATGGGGCGGGGCGGCCCTGCTTGCGCCTCCGAGGCGCGCGAAGCAAGCGACGGAGGACACTTCAGAGGAGGCAATTCCTCTGAGGTCTTCGCAAGAACGGGTAACGGCCGTTGGGCCCGACATCGTGGGCTGCCAAAGGTGCCCCTGGCCCAAGGTGCCCCCCCAACTTCTCGCTCCATTTTGGAGCCCCTCGGGTCCTCTGGGCCTCGTGAGGGGTGCTCTGGAAAACGTCGGGGCCTCCTTGGGAATGTGGGGCACCTTCGGCTATGGGGCACTTCTGGCAACACCCGAGACAAGTCTTCGCGAATAACGGCTGGTAGGCCCGATGGGGGGCCACTGAGCCCGATCAAGCCGGAGTAAGCCCAGGACCAGGTGGAATTACGACCAGAACTCTCTTCTCCGGGGTGAAGCAGGATTGGGTCGGTTCTTGACCACGCAGATACCAACGCTAATAATGAATTTAAAACTGCTGTCACACACATGCACCCACCGTGAACAGCACCAGCGTCACCTGGGCACGACCCACGCACGGTTGGACGGAGTGCCGCGGCACGATGGGGGATGCACTCACGAACGCCACTCCACTGGGCTCTCCACGCAGCTCGGCGGCTGGGACGATCGTGAGAAGCAGGATTTGCAGGAGGAGTGGAACGACTCTCGTCTGCCTCTCATGGGAAGCGCCTGTGGACGGAAAACACATCCGTATCCACGGCCTCGCGGGCTGGGCCCCATCGGCCGCGACCCCTCGGACACGGGGCGCTTTTCCGCGGACGCCCTGCGCAGCACGTACCCTGATCTTCCAGGAGGCTTGAAACATAGCGAAATTCCATCAGCCCTCAGGGCGTGGATGGTTTAACAAACGTTGTTTTCTCTCTGCCAGAGCTCCCTACTTCCCTTGCCTGGGGGGGTACCCCTCCCCCTACCCCCTCCCCTGGGCCTGGAAGGGGCGCCCCGCGAGGGGATAGTGATAGAGCGTCCAAAATGGCCCAAGATGGCCCCAAGAGGGCGTATGAGGGCGCAAGATGGCCAAGTGAGCCCCAAGAGGGAATGTAGAAATACTCAATACAGCCCCGAAAGCGCCCAAGAGCGCCCCAAGAGTGTCCCAAGGGGGGGATCTGAATCTCGTACCCCCCTCGTTTAGAATCATGGGGGCCAAGATGGCCCCAAGAGGCCTCCCAGACCCGCCCATCGAGCCCCAAGAGGACCCCAAGAAGGCCCCAAGAAAACCCGAAAAGGGCCTCAAGAGTGCTCCAAGAGGCCCCGCGAGGACCGCAAGAAAGCCCCAAGATGGCTCAAAGAGACCTCCGAGAAAACGCTTCCTCGGCGGTTGTTACACTTCACTCTTCTACACTTCCCTGATCAAGGCAACTCGACTGGCGATCTTTTTCTGGATGGGCTGGTGGGGATACTTTTTCGGTCGCGGCCGCGAAACAAAGGTCAGGCGGCGAGAAGGCTGGTGGGGATATATTTTTTTTGGTCGCGGCCACCAGACGACGGTCAGGCGGCGAAGGCAACGTCTGGGCCACGGGCGAGGCTAATTGCAAATCAGAGGCGCCGGCCGGCCCAGACGGCGGCTGCAGGCTGGGTGACTCTGAACTGGCTGGCGTACTGCAACCTCGGGCTCGTGCACTGGACAAAATGACGAGAATTCAAGTGGCCATCGCGGGAAACGCGCAGGACCCGCGGACCTCAATGGGCAGGAAATGAGTCGCCGACGAGGCGCCAGACTCCAAACGGACGACCTGCGTACGCCAAACCGGCAAAGCAGTCGTGAACCGTGGTGCAGCGCACTGGGGGGGTGAAGGTGGGCCTGAGCGGCTGCCATGACGCTGAAGGCTGAACCACTCAGCACACAGGCCAGTCCCACTTGGGCCGCATCACAGTGTCGGGGGGTACCGTGCGACTGTGACCCACCCAGCTCGCGCCGGCCCAGTGCGGTAATTCCTGACGCTTCGCGTATCCCCACCCAGTTTCGGCCGGCCTGTGCCTGTTGTAGCTAATCCGCCTCGTTCGTGCCCCAGACTTTGCTTCTCGCCGCCTGACCTTTGTCTCGCGGCCTCGACAAAAAAAAAATATCCCCACCCAGCGGTTGGTGGGGATATGTTTTGTTCGCGGCTCCAAGGCAAAGGTCAGGGAGCGGCTGGTGGGGATACGCGAAGCGTCAGGAATTCGGCTTCGCAGGGTCCTGCAGGATCTGGCGCTCTTGCCGAGCCACGTTTGCAATGAGCCCGCTACCTGCCGCTCAAAAACTACTCGGGGCGAAAGGCCACAGTCCCCAGGGACCCATATATCTGGGAAGCCGCGCTACTAAAAAGACGCGACGTCGGATGTCCGCAGGGGCAACTCTAGGGGAGAGCTGGCTCACGGAGGGAAACATCGAGCTGGAATGTGCGATGCATCGTCCAGGTGGGTCTGTCGTAGCGTCGTCGTCGTCGTCGCCGTCGCCGTCGCCGTCGCCGTCGCAGTCGCCGCCGTCGTCGTCGTCGTCGTAGGCCTGGAAGGCCATGTCTCTGCTCTCTGGAAGGTCGGGGATCCCTGCGTCCGCGCATGCACGGGACCGCGCCCCGGAGCCCGGCGAGCGAGGGCGCGTGGCTGTGGACGCGCTCGCCGCTCGCGAGGCGCGGGGAGGCGGGGAGCGCACCGGCCCCGCAGGAAGACCCATACCTCCGAGAGGCCTCGCATCCGCTCCTTCTGCTCTTTCTCCTTCTCCTCCTCTTCTTTCTCCCTTCATCTGCTCCTCCTCCTCTTGTTCCTCCTCCTTTTCCTCCTCCTCCTCCTTCTCCTCCTCCTCCTCCTCCTCCTCCTCCTCCTGCTCATCATCATCATCACCCTAGATGGGGCCGAAGGATCCGCGGGATGGAGGGCAACAAAATCCTCCCCACAAGAATCGCCCCGGCACGCGAAGCCGCTCAGTGCGCGCATCCACAGGAGGAGTCGAACAGGGCAGGGCTGTGTCGTAAACGCCCAGGGCCTTTTCGGGGACATGCTGACACGGGTCAATCCAGACCCGGGTCAGTCAAGCCTTGCAAGATCCTGCAGTGTCCTGCAGGATACTGCACCCAAACCCGGGTCAGTGCGACCCTGACCCTGCGGGATCCTGCAGGATCCTGCACCCAAACTGGGGTCAGTGCGACCCTGGCTCTGCAGGATCCTGCAAAATCTGGCGCTCTGGTTGACCCCCGTTTGCATTGACCCCCGGTCTCTGGAGCCCCGACCTTTTCGCAAACGCCAGTCATCGGGTCCGGGCGGTGTCTCTCCTCGCGGGGAGCGCACCGCCCCCGCCAGAAGACCCGGACCTCCGACGCCCTTCTGTTGTTCCCGCGGCGCGGGCCTCGTCCTTTTGGGCCCGGGGAGGGCCGCCGGAAGGCAAGGACTCCCCCAAAACCTTGCGCAGCAGCTTTCCGACCGAGTACTGTACTGTGTACCGCGCCCGACCCGAACCCGCAGAAAGTCATGCCAGCAGTGTACTGTGTACCGCGTACTCGCAAGGGGGGGATAGCACAGGGGGGGTTCGAGAATCGGCTCTCACATGGCTGATTTTCCAGGCGCCTCCTGGCGCCGGAGGGGGCCATGTGTTTTGGAATGGGCCACTCGGTGGGGCCGAAACCAGAGCTGCATGCAGCAGATTTCGTAACCCCCCCTTTCCCAATCCACCCCTTTCTGGCCATCGCTCGGACGTCCATTCCCTGTGTTTTTTTTCCCAACCCTCCTGCGTTGGGTACTCGTTTTGAATAGAGCACTGCGGTCTCCACCTTCCTTCCTTCCTTCCTTCCTTCCTCCCTTCCTTCCCGATTCCTCCCGCCTGCGGTCGCCATCCCTGGGTGGCTGCGATCAGTGAAACTATCGCCACTTTCGAGGGCTGCTGGGAGGCCAGCGGAGTGACGCCCCACGGGGACTCAGATTAGACCTCGCCATCCCTGGGGGGCTGCGATCTGCGAGACTGTCGTCACTTTCGAGGGCTGCTGGGGTGGCCAGCGGAGTGACGCCCCACGGGGACTCAGATTAGACCTCGCCATCCCTGGGGGGGTGCGATATGTGAAACTGTTGCCACTTTCGAGGACTGCTGGGGTGGCCAGCGGAGTGACGCCCTACGGGGACTCAGATTAGACCTC